CAGAAAACTCTGTCATCTACAGCCCATTGGACTTGGTTGGTACTAAGAATATCACTAGCTCTTTTCCCAAAGGTGTTTGTCTTAGGCATTTCTCCCTTGCCTCCCTCCCCCTTTCTCCTTTCCTCCTCTTCCTCCCCTTTCTCCCTCTCTGTCTCTCTTTCTTTCTTCCTACTAGCCCAGGCTGGCCTGGAACTTGTGATCTCCCTCCTCAGTCTCCCGAGTGCTGGGATTACCCGTGTGCACCACCATGCCTAGCTTCAGCACACCTTCAACTTCATTTTACAGGTGGAGCCCATCTGCAGGCTCCTGGCACCTTGACACTGAGGCCCAGAGGGGGTTAGCAGAGTTGTGTCAAAGAACATAGCTAGTCAATGCCAGATGAGAACAACAGCCAAGGTGAGGGCAGATCTTGCCTACTCTGTCTCTGTCACTTAGCTCCGCCCCCACTGCCTCATTCTTACTGCCTGCCCAGGCCCTACCCCTACATCCCTGATGTCACCTCCTTTCCTGGAACCTACCAATGGCAGTGACTTGGTCAAGATGACACAGTCTGCTGATCTCAGACCAGGCCCAGTGATGGTGGAGGTAGATTTCAGCTTTAAGGGTTCCAAGGGAGAACACTGGAGGCAGAGCATAGACTGCCCCAGAAATGGATCTCCCTTACCTAAGAAGGCTGCTCACACCTCCCTGTCCCCAAACCCAGCTCTGTCCAGAGAGCATCTGTTCCACCATCAAAAAGCTGACATCCATCCCGCCTGGCTGCCTCCCTGGAGGGCTCCCAATTCTGGAAACGCCTTCTGTGTCACCGATCCTCTCGACCCTCTGCCGCCACCACTGGGGACCCTCAGGCTCAGCCCATCTGCCACCAACTTGCCTCCCATCTCCAGGATGATCCCCCTGCCCACCAAAAGGACAGGCTTGGACAAAGGCCCGGGTCCTCTCCCTCCTCCCCCAGGGCTTGGGCACAAATGAACCGAGGAGCTCTGCTAGCTTTAAGAAGATTCAGAGAATCCTACACAAAACATAATAAGGTTTGCTGAGCTGCAAGGTTCTTGAAGACAGGAAGGAAGAGAAAAGACAGGAGACAGTATTTCCTGAATGCTCTGTGTGCTGAACATGGCCCTAAACACTGACGGACATTCTGTCCTTGGAACGCAATGATCCTGAGGGACTAAATACAATTACCCCATTTTACAGGTGTTTGGCTCCGAGAAGCCCATTAACTTTCTAAGGTCACACAGCTGGGGAAGGAATCTGAATCCCCATTTAACTCTGAAGTCCTTGCTTTTCCTGAAACAAATCATAAATGACAACAAAGATAACATAGGCAGACACCAGGAGGCCCTTTCTGACTGACGTGCTGGAATCGGACTCCTCACGCATCATAGGGCAAGGCCTGTCCTCCACTCTGTGGAATGAATGAGATGCAGAATTGCCAGGAGACAGGGGAGTAATGGGCCCCAGGCCAGTCCAAGTATTTCTCCACTTCTAAGACAAGGGGCCACCAGCCAGTCCAGGCCTTGCTGGCAGTCACTGCTCCTGTCCAGTCCTTTCTCAAGGGAGCCCTCTCTCCCCACTGGGCTTCGTCCCAGCTCTGAAACCTGCAAAGCTTCTGGCCTCGGAAGAAACTTCCTAGAGCGTCTGGCAGGCAGGCTGTGAGGCCAGCCTGCCAAGACCAATGGCCAGGCTCGGCTGCCTAATCTGAAGATTCAGATGCGCTATGCAATTCCAGCGCAGGAGCCTGGGAACCAGCTGCGGCCAAAGCAGCTTCAGCCCAGTGTCCCACCCACTCCTTTATGGGTAACACATGTGTGGGACTGGAGCTCCCACCTGCATCTCCTGCATACCCGGCCCCAACTAGTTGGCCTCTCCCTGGAGCCAACGGCAAGGGATCCCCAACAGCAAGGGAAGCACCTTAGAGGTGAACACTAGGATGGAAGCTGAGACCCCTGGGTTCCAATCCCACCATCTTCTGGGCCTGGGAGCGAGCTGCTCAACCTCTTGGGACCTGCCTTAGTTTCTCCTGGGAGAAAGCAGCGACCCCATTCTTACTCTGCTAAGAGTGATGGGAGGGCTCACAGGGTGAGAGAGAGTGAGTGGGACAGTGTGCTGGGCTTCCTTCTCAGAACCAGATGGCAGCTGAGCTCCTGCCCAGGGCCAATGGTAGGACGGAGTGCTCTGGAAGCTCGACCAAAGTGCTGTGCAGGAAAGATCAGGAAGAGGCCATAGGGAAGGCACCTAGGCCTTCTCCCAGCCCTCATCTCAGCCCTCTACACCTTGCATGCAGTTCCAGTGGCCCAGACTGGGTAATGCAGTCACTAAGTACCTTAGGATTGGTCAGCATTTGAGTGAAGGCAAATTCACGAGGAAAATTATCTCTCCTGGAGAGATTTTCCAGATCTGCCAAGCTACAAAGCCACATTTGAATTCAGTGACAACACACCATTCCAGTATGGACCTCCAACCCTTCCCATGGTTCCTTACTTTTCCTTAGCTTGCTAGCCAGATGTGTCTGGTTTCTTGGAAAGGCCCAGCCTGGCTTCTTTTTGCTGGGATCCTCTAAAAAGAAGGCAGAGATGAGCAGAGGGAAGGCCCCATTTGTATACTGAATGTGGTTCAGCCTGAACTGGGCACTCCACACAGGGCAAAGTGCAATGAGAGCTTTATGCCAAAGGCCTCAGAGAGAAGAGAGCAGCTAAGAAAACCTTCAGTGCAGGCAGATAGAGGCCCTGCTCTGGACACACAGGGCAAAGGCACTAGACACTATTTGCTGTTTATCTGCCTCCCTGAATCCATCCAAGGTAGGACAAGGGGCCTGAGCAAGGGCGACTGACCCCAGGATCAATTTAGAGCTTAGGAGAAGGTAAGGCTGGAGGAAAGTGTCCCAGGGGAGAGAGGGGTAAAAGAAGTGCAACACTTAGGGCGTGGTCAACCTCCATTCTTAGAATGATGTCATCTGCCCCTCTACCTTTGGAGGCCAGCTAGTACCTGTTAAATGCCCACTGGTCTTTTCACATTGATCATGTCATTTAGTGCCCCACAATAATGCTGTGAAGCAGGTGCCGTCAGTCTGTCTTGCAGCTGGAGTCTGACTAGAGCGGGATTGCTTTTGGTTTCAGCTGCTACAAGGCAGCAGGGCTGGGATTTGAACGCAGCCTCTCTGGCTCCAACTCAAGTGCTCCTGGCACTGTGCACCACTCCTAAGACCGCATCTCACCGTGTCACGTTTTCAGTTACCGAACGGAGCCAAAGCACAGAGAAACAACAGACCGTTAGCTATTTGTGGCTCTCCTGACTCACGTCTAATCTGTCAATGGGATGTACCTGTTCTTAGGGACATGCTGCACACCACCTCCTGCACCAGCTTCCTGAGACCCCTTTCCACCCATGCATCCGGGGCTGGCGGTCCTGACTACATTCTCCCTGCAAATGATCCCCAGCCCATCTTGGGCCAAGAAGCCCCAGCAGCTGGTGACCCCTGACCCCCTCCCTAGGGTCATCTATATTTAATGACCAGGACAAAAAGTGAGCACCCTGGGCTCAGAAGGAGGGATAGGAGAAGAGAAGTGTAATCAGCTCCCTGGGGCTGGCTGTGTTTCCCGCCTTCAAAGAATGAAGGGAGTCCCTTGGCCCTCAAGGTCTCTGGCCATTGCTCTCACTTCCCCTACACAAGTGGGGGAGTCCCCATGATGACTGGTGACTGCTGGTCTCCTCCAGCTCTCTGCTCCACACCCTCCTATGCTAGGCAATGACAGGCAGTTGCCATGGGAACGGCAGGCCCAATGCCTCCTTCCTGGGGACAGGCATGAGCAGAGTCTGGACTGGATTGATGTCTGCGCAATGTCTCCTCCCCCACTGGGAAGCCAAACTGGGGGACCCACTGGGGAGAGAGATCTTAGTATGGGAGTACTAAGCTCTGGTTGGAGGCTTGGGGGGATGGCTCAGACAGACCCTTCCCCTAGCTCCCAGTCCCCAGCCAAGGCCCCTGCCTGGAATCTTGGGTCTCTGAATGTGAGACTTCAGCATCTCTCAGAAGGCACTCAGGCCCTTGGATACAATAATTTGTTGGCTGAGCTTCTCTGTATTTCTTCACACATTCACATTCCCTCTACATATTCAGCTGATCTCTCACTGCCACTTCCCATCACTGCACCTTTGTCATCCCTCCTCCTCCCGCTCCATCTACCGAGCCTTCCCTGCTGGGGGGAGGAATGCCTGGTTCAAGTCATACCACAGCCTTCCCTGGTCACTCCAGACATCATTTCCCCTTCAGACTCTAGAACATTCCATCTCTAAGCCCCCTGTCAAGGAATACATGCTGCCTTTCCAGTGATAACTCCTGGTGCCTTGTCTCCCCCACTGACCACTATGCTCCTACTGCAGCCCCATCCAATGGCAGCAGCAGCACTAGGAAGCACACAGCAGGTGCCCAGGAAATGAGTGATGTGTCCCCAGGAGAATACAGACAACCTTTTGTCTGTCGTTTCCCCCACCCCCATTTCTTGGTAGAATCACTACTCCCTTCTCGGGGCCCCTGCTGGGGCCTGTAAGAGACTTCTACCACAGGCTGTGTATCCTTTTATCACCCACACCTCTTTACATGGCTGCCCACCTCCAGGTGGCATATGCTATCCATTTTAGAATGCCAGCACCTGGCACACTGCCTGACATGAAATAGGTCCTCAGCAAAGACCTGTTAAGCAAATGCATCCCCTAGGCATGCAGTCAGATGCTAGCTCCCCACTTACCTGTCATACTTGCCCAACCCCCACAGGCCTCTTGGGTAATAGATGAATAGGGAGGCAACCTCATGTCCTCATTTGTTACCCTATAGCCTCCTCTCTCCTTTAATACCACCCATCTCACCCCATCTCTCCAGCTTACGTTCAAGCTGCACATACTCCCAAGAGCTTGACCTATAGTCTCAGCCTTTGCTTTCTGCCTCCCAAACACCAGCTGCTGTGGTCTCTACCAGTTCCTCTTCTGCCTCAGGTACTTACCTGCAGGTACACTCAGGTAGCCCTGCTCCATGCTCCCAGTGAACACCTGACTTGTCCAGTCACACACATGAGCCTGTCTTCCTCCCTGACATCTCAGGTTCAGTGCTCCCTTGTTAGACACAAATCAGGGAGAAATGGCTCCCCAGACACCATAAACACTTTTAATGGAGACCAGGAACTCGCTCTAAAGATTTTCCTGCATTTTGAGGCCATTACAAACTCCTATTATCAGGGAGCTGCAGTGATTTTCCCTGGCAGGCAGACACATATATTTTACTGGACATACAACTCTTTAACACACATTGAAAAAAGCACAATAAAACGCACCACCCCAGACCTATAAAACCTGAGCTATCTGTCACTCACCCTAGTGCCCAGCTTTCAGTGGTCCTTTCCCTTAAAATTGTTTTAAGGGGCCCTCAGTGAGCCAGCTCTCAGGCAATGCTCCTCTGAGCTCCCCACAGCTCTCCATTTCCAACTCAGTACTTGCCATGTTGAAATGCAGGCGCCTGCCTGATGTCTCTACATCCACATTGACCAGCAGTCCCTCTGGTGTCTGTGGTGGCACCTCCAGCAAGACAACATGGGCTCATTAAACGTTTGTGAATGAATGCACGCATGCATGCAAGAATGAATGAATGATGGCTGGGACAGGAGAAGGCAGCCACAGAGCAGTTCCACAGCCAAGAAGGAGTGGAGTGGGGTAAAGAAAAAGAAATGCAGCCCAGGAAAGGGAACAACACACAAAGTGTGACCAATGACCAAGACAGGTTCATGCCCCCTGTCTGAGCTGGCTTCGGGCAGAACAACCGTCCCCAGTTCCCCTGGCCCACAGCCAGGGAGGTTAACAAGTTACATCTGGTGCTCCACCTGCAGCTCTGGGTAGAAATTTCTTGAGGGCTGTGTTGAAAAGAATTCCAAGGCCATGTTTAGGTTTACCGGACAGAGTGCTGTGATCAATTAGTGGGAGGTTCTGTAAGCCACTTCTTTTCCTTCCCTTCTGCACAACTGTATTTACAGCCTGCCCACCCACTTCTTAAGGATCTGCAGAAAAGGAGGTCGCACAGCTTCCTGTGCCAGTCACACAAGCCACAATCCTGTTCCTCATCCCCGATCTAGGCACTGATGGGGCTGCCTGTACTCCCTGGAGACACCTGCCCTTTCCCACCTCTGGGCCTTTTCCTCTAATGTAGAATACCTTATTTTCCTCCCCACTTCTGCACATTCAACCTTTTCTCCTTCACCTATCCACTTGTCTATCTACTCAGTGAGCACACTCTAAGCACCGTCTGTATGCCAAGCACCCCACCAGACTCTAAGGAGAAAAACTGAACAAACCAAACAAAAAGGTTGTTTTCTGGAACTCTTCCAGGGAGTCTTCTCTGATCCTCCCACCCAGAATTAACCATACTCTCCACTGGGGCTGAGCATTTGGTTGTGCCTGTTATAGTGGCTCTCCACCAAGGACAGAGACTTTACCCCTTCCCCAGGGAACATGTGGCAATGTCTGCAGACAATTCTGGTTGAGGGGGTGTTACTGACATCACATTGCTAACATCCTACACTGTACAGGGCAGCCCCCTTCAACAAAAGATCGTTTGGCCCCAAATGTCCACAATAGCAAGTTCGACTCCATGATCACACCAACTCCATGCTGTTAGCGTTAAAAACCCACTCCCCACTCTCCACTCTCCACTCTGTGGATTTTGCCTTCCCTGAAGGCAGGATCCATGTACTACAATATCTGGCGTTGCAGGGCTACAGGGTCTAGAAACTCCCTGGAATTCCACGCACAATCTTATACCTGTGAATATGACGTTCATTTTTCTGGGAAGAAGGGCCTAAGACCAGAAAAGTTAAAATCACTGACCTGGAGCCCAACACATTGCATTGGACAGGCTACAAAGAACCCCCAGCTCAGCTGCTCTGGGACTCATAGCTAGGCTTCCACCACACTCCAACGACTGCTCATGTCTCTCTCCAAATTTAGGTTGGATTTTGATGGCAAAGGTAATCTGGATAGGAAGCTTGTATTTATCACCCTTTTTTTTCATGCCTTCAGGATGACTAAATTGCAATAGAAGGTTCCTACACAAAGGAGGATTTTTAGTCAGGTGTGGGCGCACACCTGTAACTGCATCTGGGAGGCGGAGGTAGGAGGATTGTTGAGTTTGAGGATAGCCTGAGCTATATAGCAAGACCCTGTCTCAAAAAAGCAAATAAAAAGCCAGGTGTTGGGCAGGAGTTGTGGCTCAAGTGGTAGAGTGCCTGCTTTGCAAGCATGAAGCCCTGAGTTCAAACTCTAGTACAGCAAAAAAAAAAAAAAAAAGATAGCTGGGTGTGGTGGCTCATACCTGTAATCCCAGATACTGAAGACGTAGAGATATGGCGTATAACAGCTTGAGGCCAGCCTCAGCAAAAAGTTGGTGAGACCCCCCCATCTCAACAAAAAAGCTGGGCATGATGGCATGATGGTATGCATCTGTGATCCCAGCTATACAGAAGGAATAAGTAGGAAGATCGCAGTCCAAGCTGGTCCCAGAAAAAAATGCAAGACCCTATCTGAAAAACAACTAAAGCAAAAGGACTCGTGACATGGCTCAAGTGGTAGAGTGCCTGCCTAGCAAGTGTGAGGTCCTGAGTTCAAACCCCAGGACTGCTAAATAAATAAAAACATAAATATATAAAATGAAAAGATGGGCTTTTGCTTTGGAATTCATTGAGAATGCTTGAGCAGAGACAGGAGCGTTCTTTTGGTGTGTTTCTTGGGATTAACTGTCCCTCTGTAGTCATGAAGGGACTTGGTTAATCTCTAATTGATCACAAAGTCTGCACTTCTTTCTCCCCACATTTTACCAGATAAACTGAGGCCTTAAACTCAAGGTCAAGGTTGTGTTTGGAGTAGGCAATACATCTAGTCACACAGGTCCCACTCTCTGCTGCCCCCCTAACCAGGCTCCTTTGTAATGGAGATAGAATTTATCAACGTGAGAGGCAATTTCATTCTATCATGTCAGGGACAGAGAAAAGATAAAAGGACATTTGACTCCCTGCTGTCAGCCAGAGACGCTAATGAATCCTTTGCTTCCGAAGACGATTATCGGATGGAATAATTCATCGTTAGAGATTAATTGAACTAATTATGTTGGCTCTCAGAATCCCCTCAATAATTATTTTCTATCGGGCCGGTGTCAGTGATAATCGTGTGATATCAGAGCCTCTTCCCCTGAGTGAGCAGCCTGCAGAAAGGGATTCCTGGGTTTGAACAGTGGGCAAGTGTAAACACCAGCCAGCTATGTTTCAGCTCTGATCTGGTTACGTAGCACCTGTGTTTTGTGTGCTAATCCTTTACTCAGGGAAATATGATCACTTCTAAAATCTAAGATCACCTTCCTCACTCCCTTATTCACCACATTCTTCAAAACATCCGATTTCCCCCGGACATCCTCCTTGTCCCATGGCAGTGGGGAGACCGGAAGCTGTGTGGATTCACATCCCTCCTAGGAAGAGGCTGGCCTGCTCCACATGCACCTAACCTGCCTCATTCCTCATCCCTTCTCCAATACGGACCTTCCTTCCCCCCCTTTCCTGTCCCCATCCCAACCAACAAGATGAAAGCCCAGGCCAGGCAACATGGAGAACAAGGAGGGTCACTTTCTGTGACCACACCTCTGCAATCTCTCCCCGTTGAAATGAGAAGTTCACCACTTTTCTATGTGAATAAAGCCTAGTGCACTGTCAAAGAATGTAGTGTTTAAATAAAATAACCAAGTTAATCTGACATGTAAAATAACCTGCACTGTCACTTCCATGTTATGAGGCAATTAGATATAAAATAGCTGGGCAGTCATTCCTCTTTAACGGTGTATAGCGGAATCAGGAAATGTTTGGAAGATGGTGGAAGGGAAAAATGAGAGCCCTCAGCTTCCTCCCCACCTGCCCCTACCTGAGGGAAGCTTTGGAGAAACTGGCTCTTCTCTTTTCTCTCCACCAGCTCCCAGTCCACAATGAAGTTGGGTTTCAGGAAACATTAGACTGTCCCTCTGGCTACTGTGAACCAACATCTAGTAAAAGCTTTAGAATCAGACAGATGTGAGTTGGTATCCTGGCTGGACCAGGAGGTGTGCAAGCTTGGGCAAGAGTCTTTATGTTCAAAAGTCTCATTTCTTTTTCAACTACAAAATGAAAGTAATCATATTTGCTTTTTAGGGTTATTAGGGGGCTGGAGATGTGGCTCCAGTGGTAAAGTGCCTGCCTGAGGTTATTAGGAATATTAGATACGATAGTGTTAACACGGGATCGCTAAATGGTAGGCACTCACAAGGTGGTCTTGGTTGTTATTGCTATTATCGTAAGTAGGAAGGCTTACCCACTTTGGTTCTCTCTCTGGGAGTCTCCAGAAAGGCCTCAGCTTTTAGCTCTTGCCAGTCCTCTACCTCATTGGAGGAAAGGTGCTGGGATTGGACACACGACAGATGTCTACTAGATGGGGTAGTAACAGGATTTAAGAGAGGACATATCCCATCTCACCTTTCAGCCACATCCCCCTAGTGGTAGGGGAAGCAATCTACGAAACCCTCCTACAGGGGCTACCTAGACTCAGTCAGTCAAATATTCTTGGAGTCAGTGGGAAAACCCTTAGAGGGAGGACCCCTGGTTAGTCATTCTGTGTTATCATTTATAGAATTCTGGATATCCTAGCCAAGGAGACCTACCTAAATATGCTTATAAGATTTATGAAGGGAGAAAGGGAAAAAAGCATTAAGAAGCAGCTTGCAAGTAGCTAAAAGGCTTCCATTAATGGTAACATGAAAAATTACAAAATACTTTTCACACCAGAAAGGAGCCTGGGAACTGAGTGACAAAGCAGCTGCTGCTGGAGTTTTGTGTCATAGCGGCAAAAGCGAGCCTCCCCCTGTCATCAGTTCTTCCTGCTGGGGACAGGACGGAGCACAGTCTGAGGCTGGGAGCAGAGGTAGGCTTCGGGAGTCAGGCAATGCTCCAGAAAGAAAAGGATACATTGCTGAGCGG